CCGCCGGCCCCGTGCCCGGCAGCGGTGGCTGCCTGCACCCGCCCGCTCCCTGGCTGGTTTTCCCTGCCCGCTGCCTGGCTCAGCACTTTGCGAGCAGTGATTCAGGCGGCAATTGCCAAACTTAGCGCCTGATGTTTCGGCTTCCCCATCCGGATTTCCGGCTGGAGGCCGCCAGGCAGTGCTGGCCATGGGGAGCGGTGGTGCCACCGCTGTGCCCCCAGCATCCCTGCACACTGGTACGGCCGGTCCTGATCCTGGAGCTGGGATGGGGCTGGGAAACCTTCGGGGGGATGTCCCAGTGCCTGGAGCGGGGATGCTCCGATCTTCAGTGGGGGGCACCCTGGTACCTACAGTGGGAATGCCCTGGCCCCAGTGTGGGGACACCCCAGTTCCCAGTGTGAGGATGCTCTGGTTGCTGGTGTAGGGATGCCCCAGTCCCTGGTGTGAGGACAGCCCAGTCCACAGTGGGGTGACACCCTGGTGCCCAGTGCAGAGATTACCCAGTCCCTAAAGCAAGGATGCCATCATCCCAAGGGGGGTGCCTAGACCCCAGTATGGGGGCGCCTTGGACCCCAGTGTGGGGATGCCCTGGTCCCTTGCTCGGAGGAGCCAGGGTGTGTTTGCCCCCCCTTGGTGTGGCCACACCATCTCAGCAGGATGTGCCAAGTCCATGTGGAATCTCTGCATCCCCCAATCTTCCCCCTGAACACAGCCACGGCCGCCTCCTGCACGGCTCATGCTCAGGGCCAGCCTGAGGGCTCTCCCTGCTGCCTCTGGCTCCGGGAGCAGCTGGGGTGGCCAGGGGGCAACCAGGGAGGTGACAGCAATTGAGGCTTGGTGACCGCAGTGGTGACACCCCCCCCTTTGCCCCCCGCCAGGTCTCTGCCTTCCCGCTGAAGGTGTTCGTCACGCCGCGAGCCGGTGAGTGCTCCCGGCCAGCGGTGCTCGTCCTCCTGTGCGCCCGCTGCGCAGCCACCGTCACGTCCCTGTGCCCGGACCTGCTCGTCCGCACTGTGAGTGCCACTGCCCCAGGCCAGCAGTGACCCCGGGGGGGGCACCAGGGATGGGGCCATCCCCAGACACGTTAGGGGGGTCTCTGGAGGCGACTGGTCCACCCCATCCCTGGAGATGATGCTTGAGGTGCCCTGGGGAGGAGGGGACGCGCCTGGCTGCTGCCGGCAGTGCTAAGCACGGGGCTGGCTGGGCAGGGAATGACGCACAGGGCTGGAAAAAGCTCTTGTTTCCTCCGGCCGGTGGGAGGAAGGTCAGAGATGGGGTTTGGCTCCAGTGAGCTGAGCTGGGGCCGGGCGCTTTGTTAGCAAAATAAACCTCCTGCTTTGTTTGTGGCTAATAATAAAGTGGGCCGAGCTCTCCGCGTGCCACCAGCTGCCCACGCCACTCCATCTGTGGCCCCAAAACTCCCATTCATCTGAGGTGACCCCCAGCCACGATGAGGCCAGGGATGCCCACCTGTCTTAGCTTTACACCTGCATCATCCCCACGCCAGCCCATGCCAGGGAGGGATGCGCCTTGTCCCCCCCACCCCACCTCAAGCTGTTGCTTGCCCTGCAGGATGCCAAGCTTGTCCTGGAGACTGTGACATCACGGGGTCCTGAGCCACCTGTGGCCACCAGTGAGGGGCAGCTGTTGGCCTGGGCTCGGGAAACCTATGGGGGCATCACGTCCTACAGCAAAGTGCGGGACCCCCGCTCAGTTCAGCTCCGCCTGGGAGAAGGTGCGTAGGCTGGGTGCTGGTGCAGGTGGGCAGCGATGCTCTTCCTGCTCCCAAAGGGTGACAAAAAAAACTCCACCCACCAGGGCAAAGCATGGTCTTGGGGGAGATGCTATGGGGATGGATGTCTCTCCCAAGCCCCTCCCCAGCCACTGATCCCAATTTGGCTTTGGTGACACCCGCCCCCCCACCTCTGCAGACGCCAGCAGCCCACCAGATTGCATCCCCCGGGAGCACTTCGACGCCATGCTGCACCTCGAGACGGAGGTCTTCTTCCACGGGGTGAAGAGCTGCTCGCACAGGGATGCCCAGAGCACCAAAGCCGCCCACATCGTCCACCTGCAGCCCGAGCCCAGGTACCACCCAGTGCCGGGGGGGTTGGGACAGGCAGTGGGACATGCTTGGAGATGCTTGGGAAGGGGTTGGGGTCTCTCACAGGCAGAGCCCACCCCATCCCAAGGAGGATTTGGGGCCCACCGGTGTGGGATGCTGATGCTGGGTGGGGGATCTTGTGGTTTTGCAGCTCCCCCATCACAAATGTGAACCTCTCCCTGACCTGTCCTGAGAGAGCCATGAGCAACCAGATCCTCATCCTGCAGAGCCGGGTCAACCTCACCTGGTCCCTCTCCATCAACAACTGTCACATCCAGTTCCTGGTAGGGCTGGACGTGATATGTGTCCCCCCCTCACCCCTGCCAAGGGGGCTGCCAGATGCCCAAGAGATCCCAGTGGCACAGGGAGGGTGGCAGGAGGGCACCTGGGGCCACTGGGCATAGGGAGGTGGCAGCCCCCTCACTGCAAACCCTCCTAACGGGGACAAACCCAGAGGCCATCCCTGCCTTGAGCATCCCCAGCTGTCCCTGTCCTCGCTCAGCGCCCCCTCCCACTGTCCTCATCTCCACCACAGGTCTCTGGGAACTACAGATTAGTGTCCATGTCCACAATACTGCTCCCTGGGGAGTGGCTGCCTGACACGGAGCAGGGCCTTGTCGCCAAAGCCTTCGAGAAGAACTACAGCATCATCGCCTCCTACTCTGCCATCCCCACCAGCACCCGCATCAGCCTGGAGATCCAAGAGCACGGTGAGGCTGTCGGCTGGGCAGGATGGGGG